CGGCTGTCAATCACCGGGTGAGTATCTCCGATGGGGGAGAGACCTGTATGTAAACAATACAGATCTCTCCCCAGTCAGCTCCTGCACACTGCTTTGTATGGCTGTGCATAGCACAGGCATACAAAGCAGTGTGCTTACAGTGAAGCACACACACAGCCCCTATAGTGAAACAGCACACAGTTAACTCATTGATCGCCCCCAGATGTTAACCCTTTCATGCCCAGTGCCATTAGTACAGTGTCAGTGCTTTTTATTAGCACTGATTCAATGTATTAGTGTCACTGGGGATGTTTTTACTGGACATCTTTAATAGCAAGCAGTCAAAAATCTTATTTTTTTCTCAAAATTGTCGGTCTGAGAAAAAAGGGATGTAAATTTCATTTTGGGTGCAGTGTTGCATGACCGCGCAATTGTCAGTTAAAGTAACGCAGTGCCGTATCACAAAAAATGGCCTGGTCAGGAAGGGGAGTAAATCCTCTGGAGGGAAAGTGGTTAAAAGAGCCATGTGTGTTTATAAACACAGGACTCTGTGCTGTCCACGTGCAAAATGATTGGCCAGGACCTGCTAAAAAAAATTGCTCTGTAGCCAGTAACAGCACAGGTGAGCAGGGGGCACGCACATGCTCGCTCCAAACCTGGAAGAGGCTGGATGATGTACATGTACGTGATCTAGGCTGGCTGTGCCACCCACCCACAGTAAATGTACTGTGGGCGGGTGGCAAGCAATTAAAGTTGAAGCTTGATCTACACTTTCTCTATGATGCAGAGGATACATTAAGGTAATAAAAAAACTAAGCATTTAATACCACCTAAGGCTAGGCTCAACCCTGCCTGCACTGTGCGGGTATCTTGCAGGTGCAGTTGTTCCTGCACTCGCAGCCACCCACAGCCCGATTGCACTGCTCCTAAGAGACATGCAGGGCTGCCATTCATTCCAAATGGCACCCTCAAGCATCTCAACCTGCACCACATTTACAGGTGCGGGAAACGCAGGGAAATCGCTTGATCAAAAGCACCATTCAATTGTGGCTGCATTTTGAATAATGTGTATGAACCTTTTTTCTGCGGGAAATGTGGGAGCAGCAGCCAATAAAAATGAATGGGCTGCTGTGTCCGCACAAACATGGGCCGCACAACCCACACAAGTGTGAACCTAGGCTTAGTTCAAAATGTTAAATTATCGTATGCAATTGCAGTGTTTATTATTTATTATAGTCAGGGCAACAACTATATTTCATTTTATGATTAGTTATTATAGAATACAATACATTTCTTGAATCTTATGGAAGGAAGAGAGGGAAGGATAAATGAAGGAAAATGGAGGGAATAAAGGAAGGAAGGAGGGAAAGAAGGAAGGTAGGAAGAATAGAGAGAAGGAAGGAAGGAAGAATAGAGAGGAAGGAAGGAAGGAAGGAAGAATAGAGAAGGAAGGAAGGAAGAATAGAGAGAAGGAAGGAAGGAAGGAAAGGAAGGAAGGAAGGAAGGAAGAAGGAAGGAAGGAAGAATAGAGAGAAGGAAGGAAGAGAGGAAGGAAGGAAGGAAGGAAGGAAGAATAGAGAGAAAGGAAGGAAGAATAGAGAAGGAAGAAGGAAGGAAGGAAGGAAGGAAGGGAAGAATAGAGAGAAGGAAGGAAGAATGGAGAGGGAGGAAGGAAGAATAGAGAGAAGGAAGGAAGAAAAGATGAAGGGAAGAAATTAAATGAAGAAAGAAAGGAAGAATAGGGAAAAAGAGGGAAGGATGAAAGGAAGAATAAAGAGGAAAGGAAGAATAGAGAGAAGGAAGGAAGAAAGAAAGAAAGTAAGGAGGGAAGTAAGAATGGAGAGAAAGGAAGGAAGTAAGTAAAAATGGAGAGAAGGAAGGAAGAAAGGATGAAGGGATGGAATAAAAGGAAGGAAGAATGGGGAAAAGGGAGGAAGGAAAAAAGGAAGAATGGAAGGAAGAATAGAGAGAAGGAAGGAAGGAAGTAAAAATGGAGAGAAGGAAGGAAGTAAGAATAGAGAGAAGGAAGGAAGAAAGGATGAAGGGAAGGAATTAAACGAAGAAAAGGAAGGAAGGAAAGAATAGGGAAAAAGAGGGAAGGAAGAATAAAGAGGGGAAAGAGAAGTAAGGAAAAAGAAAGGAAGGAGGGGAAGTAAGAATGGAGAGAAAGGAAGGAAGGAAGTAAAAATGGAGAGAAGGAAGGAAGCAAGAATAGAGAGAAGGAAGGCAGAAAGGATGAAGGGAAGGAATGAAAGGAAGTAAGGAAATGGAGAAGAATGGAGAGGAGGGATTGAAGAAAGGAAGAAGGGAATGAATAGAGAGGAAGGAAAAAGGGAAGTAAGGAAGGAAGGAAGAAGGAAGGAAGGAAGGGGGGTAAGGAAGGAAGAGTATAAGTAAATAAGAAACAGAAAGCCATTAGAGGGAAAAAGAAACAGCCCAGAATTATTACCATGTTAATTTAGAGCTATAGGGAGCGATCTGAATAAAGCACGCTCCTGAAGGACGGATAATTTGCTGCTGAAGAAACATGCACTAAGCACTGACATTTCCAAATGCTGCATTGGCCATTAGGGATGCGTTTTGGGGCACATCAGGCAACAATTAATAAAGAGCGCAGAGTGAATTATCGCTGAACTGCACTGACGCTGGAGACCTGGGCCGGGTACACAGAATAACAGCTATTAATAATGATATCGGTAAACGAGAGCTGAGAGAGTTTAGCAACCTTGGGAATTTAAAAACACGATAGATCATAAAAAACTACCCAGTTGGGGAAATGTTACATTGAAATATAGTAGAAAACTTACAAATGCCATCACATATCACATTCAATAACTACTGTTATGACTATTAGGCCAGGCATATTAAAGAAGCACTAATCATAAAACACACTCAGTGATAACATCTGGAAATATAAATGTTAAAGATCAGAGATGTTGTAGAATGATTGTGGTTGGTATTGTATTAAGAGGGAAAGACTAAAGGAAAGAAAATGTAGCTATAGGAAATGTTTTACTTGTCTTAGATTTATACTGTATAGTGAGGTTACTCTTGTCATTCCTAATGCAGCCTATTTCAACCTTTTTAACCGTTGAAACAACTTTCCAATCTCAAGGAACCTCTGCTGATAATTGCTCTATCTACAGATCATGGATTATGGTTATGGTGAGGGGGAAGAATGCTCCTGATGGATAGCTACAAAGACCATTGGTTTCAGTGGTTACTTATCTGACAGGCAGAAAAGGTTCCATGAAAACTAACAGAAAGGCTAATTCTCTAATGTGACACCCAGCCTGAGCCTTTTTTTTCTCTAAGTCCACCTAAAGCCCAACTACAGCTACATTAGTTTTTTTCTAGTTGTAGATAGAGCAGGGGAAGAGTTTTATTTTTGCCATGTTTTTATTCCTACGATAGATGTGAGGGACCTAAAGAAGGAGGAATGATGCTTTAAATACAAATTTTATAGGTAGCTTTAGGTCATCCTGGGTATCCTTGGGGATGTAGCGATACCCTAAGGCAGGGGTGGACTGACCATTTGGAAACTCGGGCACTGCCCGAGGGCCCGGGGTCAGTAGGGGACCCCATGAGAGGCCCCTGGTACCTTTTTCATAGGCTTTTTTGAGTTTGGGCAAGGACACAGGGGCCCCATGATCCTCTATTGCCCAGGGGCCCCATGAGGTGTCAGTGCGCCCCTGCCCTAAGGGAACTGTTGGATGTGTCCTCCTGCTACTCCTAGTGATGACATGTTCTGTACATGGACTCGGATGAAATAAGGAAGGAGGAACGTCTGGTATCCAAAAGAGTTGCGAGTTTGGAAGTCAATTCAAGAATTTTTATATAAAGCAGCAAGTACATCAAGCCAATACGTTGCGGGAGATAGGATTCTCCCTTCTTCAGGGCTGTTGCTGCATGATAGTTGACTGGGAGTAAATCCTTGGTTAAATGTGTGTTCATGAGGTTTTTCTGAAGGCAGGCTGGTGGAGTGACAGCTGTGGTTGCAGGGGCAGCAATGCTGTCGCCTTCAGCCAATGTTATTCAGCGGCTTAGTATTCCTTCTTCATTAGGGCTTAGGTGCAGGCAATAAATAGCGATTATAATAAACAACAGATTGCAAAATAAAAAATAAAAAATATCTATTGCTTGGCCTGTTCTCATGCAGCTTCTCCCTTCGATTTGTCAATGTTGTCCATCATTGGGGAGAGAGAGATTATTGGAATACAGTGTTTATGTATTTTGTGCAACAACTACACTATACTGCCAAAAGTATTGGTCGGCCGGCCTCTACACACGCATGAACTTTAGTGGCATCCCAGTCTTAGTCCGTAGGGTTCAATATTGAGTTGGCCCCGCCCTTTGCAGCTATAACAGCTTCAACTCTTCTGGGAAGGCCATCCACAAGGTTTAGGAGGGTGTCTATGGGAAGGTTGGACCATTCTTCTTCCAGAAGCACATTTGTGAGGTCAGGCGCTGATGTTGGGGGAGGAGGCCTGGCTCGCAGTCTCCCCTCTAATTCATCCCAAAGGTGTTCTATCGGGTTGAGGTCAGGACTCTGTGCAGGCCAGTCAAGTTTCTCCACCCCCCAACCCGTTCATTCATGTCTTTATTGATCTTGCTTTGTGCACTGGTGTGCAGTCATGTTGGAACAGGAAGGGGCCATCCCCAAACTCTTCCCACAAAGTTGGGAGCATGAAATTGTCCAAAATGTCTTGGTATACTGACGCCTTAAGAGTTTCCTTCACTGGAACTAGGGGGCCAAGCCCAACCCCTGAAAAACAACCCCACACCATAATCCCCCCTCCACCAAACTTTACACTTGGCACAATGCAGTCAGGCAAGTACCGTTTCCATGGCAACTTCCAAACCCAGACACATGCATCGGATTGTCAGACAGAGAATCGTGATTGGTCACTCCAGAGAACACGTCTCCACTGCTCTAGAGTCCAGTGGCGGCGGCGTGCTTTACACCACGGCATCCGATGCTTTGCATTGCACTTGGTGATGTAAGGCTTGGATGCAGCTACTCAGACATAGAAACTCATTCAATGAAGCTCTCTACATGCTGTTGTGCTAATCTGAAGGCCACACCAAGTTTGGAGGTCTTTAGTTATTGACTGTGCAGACAGCTGGCGACTTCTGTGCGATGTGCACTTCAACATGTGCTAACCACATTCTGTCATTTTATGTGGCCTACCACTTGGTGGCTGAGTGGCTGTTGTTCCCAGTTGCTTCCACTTCGTTGTAATACCATTAACAGTTGACCGTGGAATATTTAGTAGCCAGGAAATGTCACGGATGGACTTATTGCACAGGTGGCAACCTATCACGGTACCACGCTTGAATTCATTGAGCTCCTGAGAGCGACTCATTCTTTCACAGATGTTTGTAGAAGCAGTCTGCATGCCTAGGTGATGATTTTTATACAACTGTGGCCATGGAGGTGATTGGAACACCTAAATCCAATGATTTGGAGGGCGGGGCCAATGCTTTTGGCATTATAGTGTACATCAATATTCAGTAGATGGCAGTGTTTATAAATTTGTAGCTATGGAAAAGGGAAGGGAGATCATAGGTGGCAGCACACTTGGGACATGATAATGAAAATAATATGTTGACAAGGTAAAAGTCCTACAGTCTTATATGGCTACACCATCTTTCTGATGGTTGCCAGCTTTGGGAGCTAGAAGTGGCTCTGTAGAGATTCAAAGAAGATAAAAAAGCAGCGCCATCTGAGTGTAGTATGTTCATCAACCAGCTTTTATCATGAGTAGAACAACCTACAAGAACCAAATATGTAGTAAACATGTAGTAATTCTTGCTGCTGTGTCTGCTGGCTGCATGGAGGAACCACTCATCTGAGCCTCTCTGGTGGTTCCCAGGGCTCCTGTGGATCTAACTTTGACAGGGGATGTCGTCACAACCGGAGCAGGACACAGACAGTAGGCACCACATCTGTCTCCTGCTCTGGTTGTGATGGCATCCACTGTCAATGTTGGATCCATGCCAGCCTGGGAGCCCTGGGAACCACCAGAGCAGCCTCGACGAGCGGTCCCTCTATACAGCCTACCACAGCAGCAAGAATTACTACATGCTTGCTACAAATGTGGTTCTTGTAAGTTGTTCTACTTGCGATTAAAGCTGATTTGATGACCATACTACACTCAGATGGCGCTGCTTTTTTATCTTCTTATCAGTTTGTAGCTGCATCTATGGAAAACTCTGTCTATTTTCTAAACAAAGTTTCCTGTTTCTATGTTGCAGTGAAGCCGTCTGTCCTGTAGGGCTATATACAAAATTTCTAACAGAGATTTTTGATAATATTAACTAAAAGAGGCGAGGATCTGTGTCTGTGCCAACACCATTGAAATCCAGAATGCCCCTCTTCCTAGGGTGCACTATAATCCCAAGCAGTGTTGTCAGCCCTGCTCAGTTCCCATACTCTTGATTTCAGAAAATCTCCTCCTCTCCTCATCTTGATAACATGGGGGGTTTCTGTAGTCTAGCAGAGGAGATCTTGGTAGGGCTGACAACACTGAATTTCAGTGTAGCAAAAGCATCATTGTGAGCTCTATACAGGAGGTTAGAAGCTCCTTAGATTTCTGGCACACATTATCCAATCCTACAAAAGCCATCAATCCTACAAACGCAATTACCAAGAGAAGAAACTGTTCTGAAAGAGAGACAACGTTGAGAAAGACCCCCTTAATATCAGAATACCACTTTCTACCCTTCAATACTTTAGCTATCATTGCTCCAAAGTACATTTTTATACTTTTAGAAGGATGTAAATGGATTACAATTAAGAAATAATTAAAAAGCAATGTTCTTTTTTTCTGGTAGAGAAGTAAATGACACTAATTATTTGATAATAACGTCATTTTCTTTCATTAACTTTGATGGTATAACAAGACATTTTAAATGAATTTTCTTCCTATAGACAGTATCTGTCTATTAGAAAGAGATACCTTTGCAGAGCTCCATGAGCAGCCTATAAGTGAAAGTAACCCAATCACATACTGAAATCATTACAGCTAAGGCCAATCCTGTAAATGAGAGACTGAATGTTTATCTCTCCTGCTGCCCCAACACTAAACGCCACTCCAATGGTGAAAAACGGTTCTTCAAATTCTACTATACAGAGCTGCGCAAACTGTTGGCGCTATATAAATGCTGTATAATAATAATACTAGGAAACCAGCATTTTAGAAGTGTCAATCTCCATGATACCCCACAGAGGAACTAGTGGGAGTTGCCGGGGACCAAAGAGATTGACACTCCTGGAAGTGTCAGTTTCCCAACAGATTTCCAGCTAACAGATCAATTAAATAGGAGCAGCGTTCACTAGTGCAGGCTCGGGCACAAAATGGTGTCCATTGGCCACCAAGGTGCCTAGTTAAGGAAATTATCTAATTAGTATATTAGCAGTTTTCCAATATTTTACAAAAATGTTTCATTGGTTAGAGCTCTAAAACAGTCATTATACATACAAAAGGGTATTTACTCAAGAGATAAAATGATAATCCAACCACTTTACAAAACTCTGGATTCGGCCACATCTGGAGTATGCTGTCCAGTTTCTGGTCACCAGTCAGGGCCAGATCTAGCCTGTTGATCTGCGGGTGCAATAAAAAAAAGTCGTGGGGCAGAACTGGCGGCAATGTCAACACTGTGTGTGTCACTGAGAATCTGTCATACAGTGTTACGACCTGGGAAACACTAGTGTGTATTAGGCTGCTGTCACAGAACCTGTCCCCCTCATATCAGATGTCCCTATCAGAGTCTCCCTTTAAATCAGGAGTCCTCAGCAGTGTCCCCCTTTACATTGGGGTCCTCTCAGCTTGCCCCCTTACAGCAGGTGTCCCCATCAGAGTGCCTCCATCAGAGTTCTCCCTTACATCAACTGTCCCCAACAGAGTGCCTCCTTTCATCAGGGACCCTATCAGAGTTTCCACTTACATCAGGGTCCCTATAAGAGTGCCTCCTTACATCAGGGTCCCTATCAGAGTTCCTCCTTACATCAGGGTCCCTATCAGAGTTTCCACTTACATCAGGGACCCTATAAGAGTGCCTCCATACATCAGGGTCCCTATCAGAGTGCCTCCTTACATCAGGGTCCCTATCAAAGTGCCTCCTTACATCAGGGACCCTATCAGAGTTCCCCCTTACATCAGGGTTCCTATCAGTGTGCCCCTTACATCAGGGTCCCAATCAGAGTTCTCCCTTACATTAGAGTCTCCATTAAATTTCCCCCTTACATCAGGTGTCCCATCAGAGTCCCCCTTAACATCAATTGTCTCCAACAGGGTGCCTCCTTTCATTAGGGACCCTATCAGAGTTTCCACTTACATCAGGGTCCCTATAAGAGTGCCTCCTTACATCAGGGACCCTATCAGAGTGCCTCCTTACATCAGGGTCCCTATCAAAGTGCCTCCTTACATCAGGGTCCCTATCAAAGTGCCTCCTTACATCAGGGACCCTATCAGAGTTCCCCCTTACATCAGGGTTCCTATCAGTGTGCCCCCTTACATCAGGGTCCCAATCAGCGTTCTCCCTTACATTAGAGTCTCCATTAAAGTTCGCCCTTACATCACGTGTCCCATCAGAGTCCCCCTTAACATCAACTGTCTCCAACAGAGTGCCCCCTTACATCAACTGTCTGCATCAAGCTGACGCATGGATCAGTGGATGCACTCTCAGAGACCTGAGGGGGCACAGCTAAAATCTGGGTTGGCACAGCCCACCCCAGCACCCCCCTGGATCCAGTCCTGTCACCAGTCCTCATAAAGGATGTGCTAGAACTGGAGAGAGTACAGAAAAGGACAACAAAGTTAATAAGGGGCCTGGGAGACTTCAGTGACAAGGAAAGACTACAAACATTAAACGTATTCTTCCTAGAGAAGAGATGCTTGAGAGGAGATATGATATCGATATACAAATACCTCAGTGGTGATTCCAGCATAAGGAATAAACTATTCTGTCTCATGGGAGTATAAGAAGACATGGGGCAGCAGTTTAGCCTTACGCTACGTAGGGCGCTTTTCACTGTCAGGGCAGTAGGGATGTGGAACTCCCTTCCACAATCGGTGGTGTCAGCAAGAAGTATCTATAGTTTCAAAATGACTCTTGGATGAGCATCTTAGTGAACATAATATACAGGGATATGGGATATGAGTTTTTGACATGAGCACACACACACCCACACACCCACACAGGTTGAACTGGATGGACTGGTGTCTTTATTCAACCTTACCAACTACGTAACTATGTAACATATCTATAAAATGATTCCTCCTTAATCCCTTTCCAGTGATGTAACACACATACGTGCCCACAGAACTACCTCTGTTTGTGCTGTTGGTCTACCGGTTGGGGGTCGGAAGGACCAGCTCTCGATCATGTGATTACTGTGGTAGCCAATCAAAGTGGTTTAAATGCCTCCCCTGCATTTCTGTTTTCTGCATGGTGAAAAAAAGAGATTGTATCCTTTTATCCTCTCTAATGGACAGTTAAAGGGTTTGTAAACCTCTTACATGTAATATGAACAAAACATCCTTTTTAAGCTGTGCACTTGTCTCATTCAAGAACATTAAGGGGTTTATTTACTAAAGCTGGAGAGTGCAAACTCAGGCTCACATCTGCATAGTGGCCAATCAGCTTCTAACCTCAGCTTGTTCAATTAAGCTTTGGCAATAAAATCTGGAAGCTGATTGGTTTCTATGCAAAAGTTAGCCTGATCTTGCACTCTCCAGTTATAGTAAATAAACCCTTAAGTGTCATTTCTGTCTGCTGCATCATTCCTCTGCAATCTGCATGCTTCACTTCTGATACGTTTTCCTGACACCAAGAGGTAAAAAGGTGACAGGAGAGGGAGTTCCAGTACACAACCTGTGATTGACAGCCTCAGGTCTGTTCCTGTGTGCTGTGTGGAGGGGGAGGGGTGTCCCTTCCCTCCAATCAGCTCTCAGCCCTCCTCACTGAGTGTAACTGCAGCTCCCCACCCCCTTCTTTCTGAGAGCTCAGACAAGCTGTATAAATTCTGCATTTTGAACACCTATAGAGAAGAGAGGGCTTCAGATAAACAAGTACAACTTATGTAGGAGGATTTGTTTCATTATTATTAATATTTTATTATTATACAGTATTTATAAAGTGCCGATAGTTCGCTCAGCGCTGTACATTACAAAGGGGGACAGAACATGTGACAGAACAATACCAATACAATGCAAAACATGAGGGGATCGAGGGCCCTGCTCTTTCGAGCTTACAATCTAGGAGGGAGAGGATGGGTGGCACAGGAGGAGATAGCTGTGGGGGATGGAGTGGTAGGAAGAGTGGAGGAGGTCGGCAGGTTACCAGGGGGTGGGGTAGGCTTCCCTGAAGAGGTGGGTTTTCAGGGTGCGCC